CCGTATCACGATCCAAATTCTCTTTCTGAACGACTGGTACAACACCCTCTGCGCTTGATGCGGCGCATTATCGATGACGGACTTCGTCCACAGCTGGTACCAAACGATTCGTATGACAATTTTACACTGGATTGACCAATAATTTTTTTTGAAATTGTCTCGCCGAATCGGAGACAACTTTTTCAAACAAACTTTGTGTGAAAACGACTGAATGAAATTTTCTCGGCAAGGTCTCATTTTGTAGAAGAGACATTCAGCTTTGCAATGGTGTATCTAACTCCAATTTTTTCAAATGGTTAACTAGCATTCATTTGTTTTGCGCGGTCTCAAATGCAATCATTGATGTAACGCACACCACTGTGGAAACCCTTCATAACCAAGGGCTACGTGTAGCCACTTGCGTGTAATCCCGTTACACCACGCATAACGACGCATGCAGTCTAGGCCATTCTTTGATGCGTTGCCCACGAAAAGCAATTGCCCCGGATAGCTGTACCAACAACGCATCTTCGCCACGAATGCATCTATTTCACGGGGCACAGCCTCTTGAGCGTGGCGCTCGATTACCTTTCTGCTGAGACTAAGGTTGAACTTCAAAATCCACAGGATACTTGATTGCTTACAGCCTGTGGAACCGGGCCGAAATCGCGGAGGGAGCTCAATCCGAAGCTCTTCAAAGTAAAGGCAAAGATAGTTTTTACGTAGCGACCGACGAACGCCAGTAGCTCCGGGGCATACGCCTTCTTCTTACCGCTCTTGTCTGGAATAACATAACCAGTAGTCTTGAAGTACATATATCATCGTCAAACTATGCCCCGATACACCGAAGATGCGACCTACTTGTTCACTCACGATGCTGTAGGCACTCTGGAGAGTAAATGCTCTCCATCGAAAATCAGCAGAGTACATTACAAGCAGAATGAAAGTGAACTAAGTGGCTCCTGAGTCCTCTCTACCGCTTTCAATTATTTAAACTTGCTAATCCTGATTAATACTCCGGTTTACGAACAAAACTTCCTTTATTTAAAACGACAACTTACCACTCTCAGAATGAAATGAGAGCCAATCCACAGGGACAACGTGATTGGTGTTCTCTGGACTTTTATATCCAGAGTCTTAGCGGCTTCGGTAACCCTCGGATATCCTGTATCATATTACATTTGGTTACTTTTGTAATAACTCAATACCTTGAATTGTCAAAAGAAGAGCTAAAATGACGAGATAGTTTATAAACTCTAACATTCTATTCAAAAAAAAATGATGATTGTTGACCCAGTCGGACAAGAACGACGTTCCCGCAACCTCACCGATTGTGTACTCTACAAAAACGAGTGAATGTTGACCCAGTCGGACAAGAACCACATTCCCGTAACCTCACACATTACGTTTGCCAGACCCTTAGAAGGGCAAGCTGCTTGCTAAGGTGTGAGGCACGAGTCGAAAGGGGTGGCGTTGTATAGCCAAGCATTATATTATTATTATAGTGTGCCGTCTATCTAGCACATATTATAAGATATAGCCATGATGATGATGATGATGTGTGTGTGTGGAGGGCTACGACATTATATTTAAGCTGGTATATAATGCTGGCCTTACGATCGTCCGTATCGAATAGCTTACCCTAGATGGTGCCGGAAAGAAGGTTTAGTCGGTTTTGGTCTTCTTAATGGCTCTTGCCCTCTTCTTATACGACTGCGAGCGCTCCTGATCCGTTTGGTTTGTCTCGGAGTTTTGAACCTCAGCGGTATTTTCGTTTGGTTGCGACTGCTCCTGGTCCGTTTGGTTGCCTTCCGAGCTTTGGCTGTTCCTCCCGCTTCTTGTTCTTCGACCAGAACGTCAGTCGAAAAAAAGCTTGCCGCCTTCTCATCAAACGTCATGAAAGGGATTTGCTTCTTTTGATCCGGGGTAAGACGTAGGATCTCGCCGGTTCCTAGCCACAGAATCCATCCACTGTGAAATTCCTCGCGGTAGACGATGTACATGTCGAGTCCAATCGACAGGCTTTTGGAAACGGTCGTTTGAGCTGGCAGTGTTCCAGTGTCGCTGGCGAAGTGGGGAGCCATCCTTATTCGCGCTTCAGTTTCTTCCTATTGACAAATATTATAATATTAAATATTGAGTATCCAAATATCCAGAGCTTCCCAGGCGCTGCACGGCATTAGTTCATAATAAGACTGTCTATAATCAGAAAAAAAAATTGTTTCAGAGGCGGGCGAGTTCATTAGTTCGAGTATGAATCTCAATAATTGGTCCAAAATTAATTAAGTAATCTTGATTTCTGACCAATCATCTTTTATCTACAGAACAATTCAGTACCGTCGTCCTGTAATGTCGCCGCTGGCAGCGCTCGTGCTGCTGTGCGCGACGCTGCAGACTGCGTCCTCCATTGACGTGCCCGTGGATACAAACTTTGAGTTTACGGGCCTCCACTCCGATTTCGCCCAGCAATATTACGTGCTCAACGCTGAGTTGGACGACACCGCGCAGCTCTCGGACTTCAGCGGAGATGTACTACCCAGCGCGCTACAGCAGCAGCTCAGTACCAATTCACTCTCATGGGGTGACTTACCCGGCCTCCTGCAGCGTGCCTTCCTTTGGGACGCTGGCTACGTATTAACGCCCACACACACACTGGCCAAAGTCTATACACGATGCGGTCGGTCCATGGCAGAGCTGGTGGTGCCTCCCAAGGCCTTTGAGCGCGCCGGTTGTCAACTACGAGAGTGCGTACTACCAGACGGAACGATCTTTCACCGGTCACTTAACTGCAAGGCCTCGCAGCTCTCCAGAGCGGTCCAGTGTGCTGTAGACGCTGCTGAAGACATCTCGGCACCGGCGTATGCCGCAGTCTGGGGAGACGGTGGAGAAGCGGATACTCTACCTGAAGTGACAGTACAACGTCACGCCTACATGGACTCAGACGGGAAGCCCAATCTGATCTTTGCACTGCACACGACGGACTATGAAGTCGCTTACACTCAGTGTCCTTTGACTCCGGCAATGGTGATCCCTTGTGCGCCGTACAATTTAGTTAACCAGTCCAAGTTCTGCTCTCCACAGCCTGGTGAAGTGGCGTCTGCGTGGCTTACCAAGTACGCAGCAGATCACAAACAGGACAAGACGTGGCTGCTAGTGCCTCTATGCATCGTCACTTTCGTAACATTCGGCACAGTTGCTGTATACCGCTACAAGTCAGCATTACGTGACGAAGCACGACGAGAAGTGGATCTGTTTATGCGTGAGAATCGCCATTTGTTTGATAACGGAGCAGTGGAGGCCTTCCTGGTGCCTAAACGCAAAGGCAAGAGCCGTTCTCGAAGCTCTCACACAACAGGAACTAGTCGACAAAACCGATCTTCGTCCTACTCATCATCGTCCAGTCTAGACAGTGATGACAGTGCGTACAGCTCTCGAGACTCCGCTCTCAATGTATCACAAACGTCGTTGAGTTATGACGAAGGAGTTTCGAATGCAGCGGCGTTCGAGCATTTTGACGCGACTATCGGCTTGTCAGCGTCTGCTTTTGACCCGTTAGCCTCCAACGCACGCCTGAATCCGCTGCAAAATGACACAGAAACGCCCGTACCAGTGGAAGATAAAGGAGGTTTACCCGACGATGCTACAGCTCGAAAGAATGAGATGGCCATCCGAAGCTTCCGTCTGTTTGAGTCTCACCGCAAGATCCGTCGTCTACGTGTTCCAATGGGCGAACTGCAACTGCTTCGACCGCTGTCTCGGGGCACAACGGGTGAAATTTGGCTTGCACTGCACAGTAACAGCCAGGTCGCACTCAAGCAACTGGTGCCGGAAAAGCGTCGCTTGTTGCATGAAATGGAGATGTTTCTTGCCGAAATCTACCTCATGGCGCAGTTGAAACATCCTCACATTGTGACTTTAAATGGTATCGCGTGGAACACATTGGAGCACGTGGTCATGGTGCAGGAATTCATGGAAGGTGGCGACTTGCAGCATTTTCTAGCGCAGCAAAATGTCAGTAAAGCCACCTCAACAGCTCCGATAAGTTCGGGGAACACGATTGTAAGACGCTCTAGTTCAGTATCCGGGGGATTACCGCAGGTGGACGAAGCTGTGGCCGTTGCAGCGACATCCTCGGGCTCGTTTGCTGGCGGTCTTGGAGCTGCTGCTGGTGGGTTGATTCACTCGGTACATTCCAGTCACTTCACATGGTCCAAGCAGAAACTGGCAATCGCTCAGGCTGTCACGAGTGCATTGGCCTATTTGCACGCTTTAACGCCCATGGTGTTGCATCGGGATGTCAAGTCACGCAACGTGTTGCTCTCTTCCTCTTTGGATGCCAAACTGTGTGACTTTGGCATTAGTCGACGCAAATGTAGCGGTACCGATGACGAAACAAACCTCACTGCGACAGCAGCAGCTGGGACTTTATCGTGGACTGCACCAGAATTGCTACTGGGGGAGGAGTATACCGAGAAAGTGGATATTTACTCGCTTGGTGTACTTCTAAGTGAATTGGACACGTGTACTCTACCGTATCACGATCCAAATTCTCTTTCTGAACGACTGGTACAACACCCTCTGCGCTTGATGCGGCGCATTATCGATGACGGACTTCGTCCACAGCTCTCGCCTGACTGTCCGTTGCCAATTACGCATTTGATCGCAGCATGTGTGTCGCGCAACCCGAAGCTACGCCCGAGTGCTGCCGATGTAGGAGCCTGGTTGGCCAGTGCGAGAGGCGAGCGACTGCTTCGCAAAAGTTCCAGTGTATTGATATCCTAGGTAGATGAACTGAGTATTA